TCCTGAAGCGGCAGCGGCAGGCGCTGAACCCACGAACTGCTGCTGCTGCTGCTGCTGCTGCTGCTGCTGCTGCTCTGGGAAGAAGGGAGACAGCTGGGAAAAGCTCGGCAGGTAAAGGGCCCGAGAGGGCGGCTGCGACGCGTCCAGGACCGCCAGGTGTATAGACAGCTGCTGCTGCTGCTGCTGCTGCTGCTGCTGCAGCAGCGCCTCGCAAGAAGGCGGCAGAACCCCCGTCTGCCAGCTGCTGCTTCCGCCGCCGCTGCTGCTGACAGCTCGAAAGGCCAGCGTGTGGCAGCTGCTGTTGCGCAGCCACAGGCAATTCTGAACAGCAGCAGCAGCAGCAGCAGCAAAGCAAGCAGCAGCACAATTAATACGCGCGTAGCAGCAGCAGACCCAGAATCAACAAAGCAGCAGCAGCAACAAACTAGCAGCAAGAAGGCAGCAGCAACAACAACGAAAAAGCAGCACCAGCAACACAGCAGCAGCAGCAGAAACAACAGCAGAGCAGCAGCAACAAAGCAGCAGGAGCAACAAAGCAGCAGCACGAACAGCAACAAACAAAGCAACAGCAGCAACAACAACAAAGCATAGGCAGCATCAAAACAGCGGCAGTAGCGAATCACCAGCAGCCACAAAAGCAAAGCAGCAACAGCAGCAAAAGCAACAAAGCAGCAGCAGCAGCAGTAACAACAAGAACAGCGACAAAGCGGCAGCAGCAACAACAGCAACAAAGCAGCAGCAGCAACAACAACAAAGCAACAAAGCAGCAGCAGCAACAACAAAGCAACAAAGCAGCAGCGGCAACGCAGCAGCAGCAGCAGCAACGCAGCAGCAGCAGCAGCAGCTACCTCTCGGACAGCAGCAAGGCAGTAGCTGGGCAGCTGCCGCAAATCATAAAGGACTCCAACAGTAGCAGCAGCAAGTCTTGCTGTTTGTGTCCCCTCGTCAACTCCTTTGTCTGACAAAGAAGAGACAGAAGCTGCGCCTGCTTCGTATCCTGCTGCTGCTGCTGCTGCTGCTGCTTGCTGCGGTGCTGCAGCGAACTCCTCCGCTTCGCTGCAGCAGCCCTCGAAAGGAGTCGGCATCGCCGCTTGCTGCTGCAGCTGCTGCCGGAGCCAGTTTTCCCGCTGCTGCTGCTGCTGTTGCTGCTGCAGGCGGGCGTCGACTGCAGCAGCAGCAGCAGCAGCAGGCGCAGCAAAGGCGCCCCCGTAAGCAGCAGCCCAGCTGGAAATGTGGGGAGAGAAGGAAAATATTTGCTGCTGCTGCTGCTGCTGCTGCTTCGGGTGTATAGGCAGCGGCGGGGTGTATGGGGACATGGCGAACAAAAGCCGCAGAGCCTCAGCCGACAAGTAGGGCCTCACGTAAAGCACCTCGCCGCTGTTGCTGCTGCTGCTGCTGCTGCTGCTGCTGCTGCTGCTGCTGCTGG